TACAGGGGTGTCCTGGAGCTAGCTGAACAGCCTCACAAAAGTTAATTGTTAAATTTTTACTGTGAGTGTTTACTACCTTGCAAACAGACTACAAATCAGGCCTTGGCTTACTGTTTTGTTGATTAACTAGAGGTAAGAAAGTTAAAGACGAAATGTCAATAGTGTAAATTAAACTTAAAAATATGTTAGGTGAACATTTTGAGGGGAGATCTAGTCACACATTTAACAACACACTACTCAAATATTGCTATGTTAGGGTCCTGTCAAAGCAGCTAGATAGCACAATGGATAGAGGAATGCTGGGCCTGGAGTCGGGAAGACCTGAGAACAAAATCCAGTCTCAGATACTAACCAACCACGTGGCTCTGGGCAAGTCACTTAACCTCTGTCACTAAAGCTGAAATGCTTAGTGCCTGGCACACAGTAGGAGCTAAATAAATGTTTATTCCCTCCCCTTTCCATACCTTGTCCAATGAGGCAGACTTTAAAAAGTTTCCCTAATTTCCTGCCCTTGCACAGTCATGAAACAAATAGCTCCTGAGTATGTCCTCCTACCCCAGTTAGAGAGCCAACACTACAATGGAGCTGGAGGATTCAGAACCCAAATTCTGCACTAGGAAAGGTCGCTCTCTCCTATGTGGTTCCTAGAACTGTCGCAATTGATCAAAACATTTATTAAGCCTCTACCTGCCAGGCACTGTCTTAAGTGCTAAGGATAGGAAAGGAAACAAAAGACAGTCCCTATGCTCAAGGAACTCAGTCTAATGGAGGAGACAATAAGCTATATACAGGATAAGTAAGAAATAATTAACTGAGGGAAGGCACTAGAATTAAGAGAAGTTGAGAAAGGCTTCTTGTAAAAAATAGAATTTTAGTTGATGTTTAAAAAGAAAGCCACAGAAATCAGTAGGCAGAGATGAGGGAGAACATTCCAAGTATGAGAGGAAGCCAGAGGAAGTGCCTGGAGCCAAGAGATGGGAGGTGGGGGGTGGGGTCTTGTTCATAGAAGAGCTTGACTGAAGACTACATAGGGAGAAATAACATATGAGAAGACTGGAAAGATAGGATGGCACTAGGAAATGAAGAGCTTAGAATGCCAAAAAGGGCATTTTGTATTTCGTCTTGAAGCTGATAGGGAGCTGCTGGAATTTATTGAGAAGGGAGGTGACGTAGTTAGACCTGTACTTTAGGAAAATCACTTTGATGGCTGAATGAAGGATGGATTGGAGTAGGGAGAGACTTGAGGCAGGTAGACCCACCAATAGGCTATTACAATAATTCAGGTGGGAGGTGATGAGAGCTTGTACTACAGTGGTACTATCAGGGGAGAAAAGGGAGGTGTATCCCAGAGATGTTACAAAGGTGAAAACGACAGGTTTGGCAACAGCTTGGAAAGGGTTAGTGACGATGAGGACTCCAAGATGATTCCTTGAGAGACTGGGAGGCTGGTGTTACCCTCTACAGTAACAGGGAAGATAGAGGGGGAGGAGGGTTTAAAGAAAAAGATAATGAGTTCTGTTTTGGACAGGTTCAGTTTAAGATGTTTACTGTATATCCATATTGAGATGTCTCGAAGGCAATTGGAGTTGCGGGATTGGAGGGCAGCATGCTTCTCAGCAATACAAGGATCTAGGATCTCCAGAGGCCTTGTGATGGAGGGTGCTATCCACATCCAAAGAAAGAACTATGGAGTTTGAATGCAGATTGAAGCATACTATTTGCTATTTTTTTTCTCTTCTGTTGAGTTTTGTTTCCTCTTTCTGGTGGTTCCTCCTATTGGTTCTAATTTTTACTTACAACATGAGTAATCTGAAAATATGTTTAATAAGAATGTGTATGTGTATATATATATATATCAGATTGGGCTCTGTCTTGGGAGGGGTTGGGGAGGAAGGGGGAGAAAAATTTTGAACTCAAAGGCATATGGAAGTGACTGTTGATAAATGGAAATAAACTAATAAAAATTTTTTAAAAAGATTGGAGGGCAGCCCAGATGTTGGCAGGATAGATTTGAGAATCATCAGCAAACAGATGATAATTTAATCTGAGTTCTGAGATCACCAAGTGAAGTAGTACGGGGGAGAAGAGGACCCAGAGCAGAGCCCTATGGGACTCCCATGGTCAGTGAACACGCATGACCCGGATGAGGCTCCTGAAAATTGTCCCGAACCTTCATATCCCCAATAAGAGGCACTAGGAAATGCCAATCGAAGGTGTTTATGAGAAATAAGATCAAATCCTCTAGATGCAAAAAAGACACAATTAAGAAATGGGTGTGAGTCTCATTGAGCTGCAGTAAGGGTGTGCGTGGGTCGTGGGGAGGGTGGTCAGTAACTGCTGCCTCTTGTTTCTTTCCTCAGGCTCTAGCCACTGGAAATTATTAAAAAAAAAAAAAAGTAAACATAGCCGTATACCTCCCTCTGGTAGGCAGAGTCTGAAGAAGGGAATTGCTACTGTAGCTGTCACGGGACACATGGACCACCACGGCCTCCCTCTTCCCATACGGTCTGTGTTTAGCTCCTCAGGTTTATCCCTGCGCATGGCCAGCCCACGATGTTGGGGCGGGTTTAAAGGAATTCGCGGGTAAATACTTTTTAAACCTTCCTTCAGGATCCTGGGGTTTGTAGTATTTTTTCCCTGCTCATGGAAGAGACTCCAGACTTGGACTGGACTGGGTGACGCCTGCGGAAAAGCTCCGAGTGTGTCTGTGCGGAGACAGTGCGGGAGCGTTGGCTGCGGCAGCCAGTGACGGGACTTTAGCGTGAAACTGGACTCGGGGGCTGGAGCCGTCCGGGGGAAGAGGGCGGGAAGCCTGATAACGCTCTGGGGGGCGGGGAGGCGGCCCCTCTGCTCAGGGGGAAGCCTCCAGCGGTGGACGGGCCCCGCGGTCACGCTGCAGCCAGTGCAACGTGCGGGGCATCCCGCGGGTGCCACGAACTCGAGGCGGGCCGCCCACGAGCTCGGTCCCTGTGCTGCGCTCAGAAGGGACCGTCGCGGCCTTTTGGAGAAATTCGAGATTGCAAACCCTTCCTTTCCGAATAAGCCTTGGATTTCCAAGAAACCTGACCTTTTAAAATGAAAATTGACCAAGATTAATTTAGATTTGGGGGGTGGGGTGGAGATCGAAGTGAACAGATTCCTTTAATGACATTCATGAGATCTGAACATTTCGACCAATGAAAGAGTGAACGAATGAGCAACGAAATGTCAATGAAGAAAACTGTTTAGGTGGCCAGGATCTACCCCTGGGGCCGCTCTGCTGGGGGTGGAACTGGTCAGAGGACACACCTCTCCATCCCCATAGACCCACCCAAAAGGGGCTGGTTTCTGTCTCCCTCCCCGCCTTCCTTTATGGGTTGTGTCTGGGGATTTGCTTGGGCTAGACAGCCTGCACGCTCTCCCGGGTTTCGGTGGCCATGAAATTGACCAACCTAGCAGCCCTTCGCTCACAGAGGTCGCGGAGGTGCCTCCCTGAGGTCCTGGGGGTGGTCTGGCTGGTGGAGTGGGGCTTCTCAAGACATTAGTGATAGCTTGGGGAAGGGCGGGAAGATGAAGTCTTGGCCCTGTGGCTATGGTGTCGGGATAAGGAAGCTGATCGTGGGCTGGAAGACGGAGAAAGCCTGGGCTGCATCTTCTGGCAGCTCCTCCCCATGCCAAGGATCCCTCTGTGGAGGTCTTAAGGAAGTGGGAACAGCAGCACATTGCAAGCCAGAAGCTGGAGTCCCTTTCATTTTCTCCCCTCTTCTCTGCCTCCCCCCCCAACAAAATCCTGAGTGGATTGATGATTCCTCCTGAGGTTAACTGGAGAAGACTCCTCAGCCTTGTGTGCAAATTCTAGGTGGCACACCTTGGCTGTCCAAAAATTGAAGCAAAGTTTTTGAGAACTAGGCAAAGATTAATCTTTTTTAAAAAAATTATTTTGATTTATCAACAATCACTTCCATAAACTTTTGAGTTTTACATTTTTCTCCCCCTGCCTCTCCACCTCCCTCCCCAAGATGGTGAGCAATCTGATATAGGCTATACTAATATATATTCCTATTAAACATGTTTTCACATTAGTCATGTTGTAAGTAAGAATTAGAACCAATAGGAGGAACCACCAGAAAGAGGAAACAAAACACAACGGAAAAAAAAAGCAAATAGTATGCTTCAATCCATATTCAAACTCCCTAGTTCTTTCTTTGGGTGTGGATAGCATTTGCCATCATGAGGCCTTTGGAGATGTTTTTGGAGATCCTTGTGTTGCTGAGAAGGGTTAAGTCTATCAATATTAGTCATCACACAGTGTGGCTGTTATTGTGTATATTGTTCTCCTGGTTCTGCTCACTTCACTCAGAATCAGACCATACAAGTATTTCCAGGTTTTTCTGAAGTCTGCCTGTTCATCATTTCTTATAGCACAATAGTATTCCATTGCGTTCATATATCACATTCACAGTTATGATTACTATCTGTCTTTCTCTCCATCTTCACCCCCCTTTATGCTTTTCTGTCTCCTTTCCCCTCCTCACTAGTGCTTTGCTTTTGACTGTTGCCTCCCTCAGTCCTGCCTCCCTTCTATTAGCCCCCTTCCTTTTCTTCCCCTTTACCCTTACTACTTCTTCCCTCCTTTCTAGTCTCCCTCCCTTTTCTTTCCACTTTTCCCTCCTACTGCCTATAGGGCAAGTTAGATTTCTATACCTAACTGATTATGTTATTTCCTTCTTGAGGCAAATCTGATGAGAGTAAGGCTCAAACAATGCTCGTATCCCTCCCTACTTTCCCTCTGCTGTAATACATTTTTTTGCCTTTTCATGTAATGTAATTTACCCTTGTCTGTCTCCTCCTTTCCTTTTCTCTTAATACATTTTCTTAGTAAGATTAATCCACTTACTTGAATCCATTTAACCCACTTGATTAGATTTTTTTTATCATTACATCAAAGTCAATTTAACCCCCCCCCTTTATGTATACTCCATTAACATGGTGTAATGACAATACAATTCTCAAGAGTGTGAGAGACACTCTCTCAGAAGTGAAGCCTCCTCAAAGGGTCAGTAGCTCTTGTTAATAGTTCTTGATTGTTGCTTGCAAAACCCTCCCTGGCTCAGACTCTGTTTTTAAGTACTTAGCAGAAAGAATAGCCCTCCCCCAACCTGAACTGCTTGCCCTTGAAAAACTTCCCACCTTTTGTTGTCTCTGGGCAAACTTGTGTAATTCTCTGCTACTGGGGAAAATCCGTGAATAGATTGTTCCCCTCAAAGCCTAGCCAATGGGATAAGGGGAAAGGGGTTAGGGAGAAGGAGCTCGAGTTAGGGTATAAATAAGCCTTGATTTCTGTAATGAACTTGTACTCTCCTGGCAGGTCATGGTGACTAGGAGCGGTACCCTTTCTCATGAGAAAGCAATAAACTCCTTTCTAGTTTCACGGTATGTAAGTCTTTGTTTTTATTTTGAGTAAGTGGACTCTGTCCCACACAGTTGGGGACTCTCCCTGGAATTTCATCCCTTATTTGAGAAGGGCCTCCCAGCCAGTCCTAGCACAGGCACCCACCGGCCGCTTGCCAGCTGTCCAATGAATGGTTTGGGAGTTTCCTTTCACTTTTAAGGAATGGACCCAAAGAAAGACAGATACCTGAAAGCAGAAACCTTGGAAAGGGCACAACGACCACCACCCACTGAAGAATTTGAATCAGTCACATAAGTTTGTATACCCAGACCCAGGTAAGACAAGATTGGTGAGCTTCCCCCCCCCCAAAGAGGGCAAGAACTAGTGAGTCTCTGGGTGACCGGGGGAAGTGAAACAAGGCTGAGCTTAGTGAGGGGAGAAGGCAAGATCGGTGAGCTTTCTACAGAAAGCAAGAAGTAGTGAGTCCTCGGCAAGATCTAGCCAGCCTCCCCTCCCATAACGGGGCAGGACTGGTGAGTTCTCGAAAGAGGACAGGAACTAGTGAGCCTCCACCTCATGTCAGGATACAGTGAGCCTTAATGGGCAAGAGCTGGTGAGCCATGGGGACTTCCCAAAAGCGGGTGGACAGCAACATAGTTCCTTTCCAGATGTTCGGGACGATAGCTAATTGGACTTTGCCAAAGTATAAAGGGAAAGATAAAAAAGAAAATGATTACATATGATTTGAGGAGTTTACAGCAATTTGTTGTGTGTCCGTTTTGTGTTTGTGTCTGTTCCTGTGTGTCTACTGGAAAGGGACTTTAATCAAAGTCCATCAGAGGGATAAGTAGGTAGAAGGAAGGCAGGAAAGTTTATGAGAGTAAAAGATTTGGAGACTCTTAGAAAAATCTCTCTCTCTCTCTCTCTCTCTCTCTCTCTCTCTCTCTCTTCTCCATTCTAACTGTGGCCAAGTTTTGAATGTGGAGGAAAAGAAAGAAAAAAGAAAAGGGGAACCTTTTCCCCTCAGATGAAAAAGAAAGGCAGATTGAGTAGCACTTAATCCTTTCTGCCTCACATAACAGAGACAAGTTTTTGTGCACCAGAACACAACCAAAAGGTAATTTAATTCATTCTGATAATATTTTAAATGAAATGTGACGTTACACTGTTTGACACTAAGGTAAATTGGGAAAATGTGTGGATCTGAAATTTGTTGTAATTGGAAGGTGCCTAACATAATGCCTAGCAGAGGGTAGACACTAAAAATGTTAACAACTATCATTAATTCCTTAATTAGATGTGACTAATTGGAAACACAGTCAACAGAATTGGAGCCACCTGTTTCAAGTTTTAAACCTCTAGTATTGTTTCAAATTGGTAAACTTTTGTTTTAAAGTGAACTGAAAGAAACTAAAGGACAGTGGAAAAATTGTGTAAAACCAGTCAGCCCTGCTAACCCTGTCTTATAATTTTTTTCTATTTAGAAGACCAGGTATATCCACCTTTACCTGTAGTTAAAAAAGGGGTTATAGCTGAAACAGTTTGCTGAGACCTTCACCCCTTACTCCAAAAGAATTTGGGTCTCATTTGTTTGAGGGGGGGAATGATGGGGTTGGGATCTGGGCCCCAGAAAGGAAAAACCCTGGACTTTCCCACAGGGCCAAATCTCTGGCGGTTTCCTGAGGCTATAATCCCATCAACTGGCCTTTCCTTGTGGCTACACCCAATCTCCCCTCCATTGTTTTACCTCCCTATGGCCCCTGGCCATTTCCCTTGCCATCCAGATATAGGGGTGGGAGCGGCCCCAGGAGACTGTTGGACCTGGTGAAAGGGTTCAGAAGGAAAGATTTATTTTTTTATTGGGTTTGTTTTGAGTTTTTTGCTGTGTGAAAAGGAGTAACTGCCCATTCCAAACAGTCCTCCTTGGGATATGGGGGTCGGCAGTTAAGGACACCAAGATTAGCTCCTTCCTGGGAGGACCTGATTGATCTGAAGGAAACCACAGGGTTAGTGTTCTCAGCCAAGAACTAAAGCAGTTACTCAAAGACCAAGAGAACTTTCAGATCACCACCACCACCTATTAAGAGAGGTTCCTTCAGCTCAAGGAGGAAGCAGTTATGTGAACACTCCCCTCAATAGTTTGGAGATTAGGAATTTCAAAAAGGATATTGGGAAACATAGAAAACCCCTCTGGGGTCGTGGAACAGTTTAACCAATTTTTGGGTCCAAATTTGTATACTTGGAGAAATCGTAGCAATATTAGATATCTTATTCACAGGGGAAGAACAAGTCAGATTCAGAGGGCAGTGATGAAGGCCAGGGATGCTGGCCACCTGATAGCATAAGGGGAACCAAGGGGAGAAGTTCCTCCTTGCAGATTTGAATTGGGACCATAACAATCTGGCCCATAGAAAGAACATGAGGGAATTAATAAGGTGATGGGGATCAAACAGGAAAAAGAGGAAACTCCCTCCACCTTTTTAGACAGGCTGAAGGAGAACATGAGGAAATTTTTGGGGTTAGAATTTGATTATATTTTGTAAATAACTCCTGGCCAGGTATTAATAAAAAGTTGCAAAAAGTTGGAAAATTGGCAGAACAGGCCTTTAGATGAGTCGCTAGAAACAGCCCAAAAAGTATATGTGGCCAGGGTAGAGGAAAGTAAGAAGGAGCAGGGAAAGCAGAGTTCATCTGCTCTGAGGAAAGAACTTGCAGTTCCTAAACAATGAACTTGGCTGGCTGAGAAGTTGCAAGTTTATGTACAAGTTTAAATTTGAGAAGGAAAGATGTTAAGTGAAATCTCTTATGTATGTGAGGACTGGTAAATTTTTCTTGATTATTGCAACTCCATGAGAGTATAATTAACTGTATCTTGCTAGCAGCTGGCGTGGGTGCAGGCTGAGACGGTGGAAAAAAGAAAGAAGAAAGAAAAGCTAGGCAAGTCTTAGAGGTTAATGTTCAAGACTAGTTTTCAGGAGTTTCCTCATTACAGAAAAACAACTTTATATCTTAAGAAATGATTTACAAGTTCTGGGAAGCCCTATTAATAACATAAACTAAGCCGCTAAAGATCATCTTTTTCTCAAGGAAAAGTAGTTTCAGTGCCAAAGTTCATATCTATTGTTATTTACCTTCTCAGTTCTTAGTATTGTCTACTGCAGGTCAGCCTCCTGGCTCCAGAGCTGGTAAATAATTCCTCTTTTATGTACCGAAGATGGAAAGGACATTGCCCTAGGGGGAGGCCTTGCCTGCCCGATCCTGTACTAGCATTCAAGCCCTGCTTAGAATGCTCTCCAGGTTAGACATGGTCCTCTACAGTATCTGGCTTTAAGCTGTGATTAGTGAAACTTGCTGTTTGAGGTAAAATGCTCTTGGGACTATAATTTTGTTTTGAGTTTGAATTTGGGAATAGTTGTCTGCATTAAATCAGTATCTGAGAGAAATGCCCAGAGGGAATGTGATCCTGTACTGTTAACAGGTGGAGGTCTGCATCTGGGAAAAAGCCCTCGAGGACAATCTTAGCCCTTAGGATGGGATCCTGGCTCAGTTTCCCCACTGTGTTCCTTTGAGAAGGAATGTTTCCCACCTGACTATTCCTGAGTCTGGCTATGATATGGAATTGATACTGTATGATTGGAGAACTGTGACTCTTATCGGAATTCAAACAGAGCTAAGGATGTTCTATCTTATCATATTTGGCATGTCGCATGTCCCTGCCTTTTCCTTTTATAGAAGATTTCTCTGATCAGAGCAAGTGGTCAGTAAAAGAAGTATGTGAGGTCTTGCTGTTTTGATCTGAATTTGTAGTCATCTCATGGCCTAAGTAAGAGTAAAATCAGTGTTTGAATTTATCATATGTAAAAGATTCAATTTCTGAAGTATAATTAGAGAAGCATAAACAAGTTTGTGAAACAAGATTGTGTATCAATTCAGTCTTTGGCAAGTTATCTGTTTTCTCTACAGAAGAAAGGAATCGTTCGCAAACTCCTCCACTGGGGTTTCCTGTGCCCAAATTCCAGCCTGGTGATTAGATTCTCAGTCTGGGCATGAAAAGAAGAATTGACTCCAGGTGCTATTAAAGAGAAAGGCTGGACTCACTATACCAGAGTGAAATACAATGGCATGTGTTAAAATGCAGAATTATTATTATTTAATGTAATTGTTAAAGGTACCAAGTAGTGATATGAGTGATAATTTCTATATGTGATAATATAGAAATGCAATTGATGTTATCTGAAGTTTATTGTGTTACAAAAGTTATTACTGTTTCTAAATTGTATTGTATTTCTAAAACTCTTAGACTGTAAAATTTGAGGGAAATTGTTATTGTCCTACTCCCGGTGTGTTTCCCCTGCAAGACTTCCTGTCCGGCCTGGTTAAAATAGAAGGGAAAGGAGAAATCAAGCTGGTGGTTCTGAAAAGTCAGGGCTGGGTATCAGTCTGAGACCACCCTGATGTTATTAAGATTTAGTGGGTGTGAGGAGGCTTCAAATTGTAAGAAATGAGAGATGATCTCTCAGAAGTGAAGGCTCCTCAAAGGGTCATTAGTTCTTGTTAGTGGTTCTTGTATTGTTGTTTTCAAAACCCTCCCTGCTCAGACCCTGTTTTTAAGTACTTAGCAAAAAGAATAGCCCTACCCTCAACCTGAACTGCTTGCCTTTGAAAAACTTCCCGCCTTTTCTTGTCTCTGGGCAAACTTGTGTCTCCGTGAATAGATTGTGCCCCCTGAAAGCCCAGCCAATGGGATAAGTGGAAAGGGTTTAGGGAGGAGGAGCCTGAGTTAGGGTATAAATAAGCATTGATTTCTGTAATGAGCTTGTACTCTCCTGGCAGGCAATGGTGACCAGGGGCTTTCTTATGAGAAAGCAATAAACTCCTTTCTACTTTCAAGGTATCTAAGTCTTTGTTTTTATTTTGAGTAAGTGGGCTCTGTCTCACACACAAGTGTCATCTTCCCTTGTAGGGATGTACACAGTTTGCCCTTATTAATAACATCGTTTCTTTCTGTCCTGTTTACCTTTTTATATCTCTCTTGAGTCTTGTATTTGAAGATCAAATTTTCTGTTGAGCTCTGGTCTTTTTATCAGGAAGGTTTGGAAGTCCCCTATTTCATTGAATGTTCATCTCCTCCCCTGAAAGATAATGCTCACTTTTGCTGGGTGGCAAAGGTTAATCAATTAAGATTTGATGAATTAACAGTTGTTTTGCTCGTGGGGTCCTGGGGAAGGGGGAGGGTGTTGTCTTGGTTCCAGGAGGCCCCTGCCTGGTAAGTTCCATGATCAGTGTTGTTAATGAATTTTATTAATAACCTGTATTTTTAAGCTTTTCAGAAGGGGAAAAGGCCATAGGTGAACCCAGGGCAAATCAAACCCTGGGCCAAAGTGGGGTTATTGAGTTGAAAGTGGATGCCTGGGATGAACAATTTCTTCACATTCTAATGAAGGGAGGGGAGAAGTAAAGGTGTGACCAGAGAGAATGTGATGCAAGCCCCACATCAGAGACCAGGCTTGGTCTTTGAAATACAAACCTCCTCCCTTTTTGTTGGGAAGGGAAAAGTTCCCCTCAGCCAAATTTACAGCCACATTCTCAGCAGTTAGCTATAAATGTACTTAATAGCTATTGTCTTCAGACTTCCAGGTCACTCCCCAACCTTCCTCAATGAGCTTGGTACCTAGTTCACAATTTCTCTCCCCTCCCCAAATCCTGCCTTCATACTAGGAGACCTCGACATACATGTTGACTCCTTCTCGAACAATCTAGCCACTCCTTCCCTGACCTGCTTACTTCCCATGAACTACTCAACCCCACCTCAGCCATACACAATGATGGTCATATCCTTGATCTTGTCATCAGTTACAAGTGTACCACCTCCATGTTAAAGAATTCTGAAATCCCCTTATCCATGGAAACTGGACTTCTCTGGGCATTTGCAGGTCTAACAGGGAATGCCTACTGAGCATGCCCAGTTTGTCTAATTTGGAGCCTTTTTGAGTTTCCTATCACTAAGACAGAGATAGTCTTCTTGGATTGGCTTGCTTGCATCTTTAAAATTAGCAGCTGAGCTAATTTTAACTGACTCTTTTGGGCAACTCTTCCCTGTTTACCCAGCAGTGATGCAAGAGCTGAGGGCAGCAAAGGGATTTGCCTCCCCTTATTTTATCTGAGCTCTGAGAAATGTTTCTGCTTTGTGTTGTTTGTTTTCTGTTTCAGTTGCTGGGAGTAATCCTCATCAACTGGGAGTTCATGCCGTAGTGACCTTGGAGTCTGGATTGTAGGGATGATGGTGTAGCCAGCCATTCTAGGTGGAAGCCCTGAGAAGCCTTGAGCTAAAAAGTGTTGGGGGAGGGGGGAAGAGTGTTTAGACTTGGAACTGGGGTTGTGCTCAATAGGAACTGAGCTAAATTATGAACTAATCCTCTTCCACTTCCCAGAGACTAAAGTGGTAAAAGGTTAGAGAGGGATTGTATCTCCTACTTGTTGGAGAAGTTTGTATATTTGTGATTATACCTTTGGAAGTAAATGTTCTTTTGTAAAAAAAAACTCCAGTGTTACATCTGACCATGATCTGTTGGTTTTTCACCTCTCCTTCTGCTTCCCTTATAAAAACCTACTTTTCCTCTGTATTGAGACCTCCAATCCCTTGACCCCTCAATTCTCTCTTAGGCCATCTTTCCTGCACTAATCACTCTCTCCTCTTTTCCCTATCTTGACCTTGTTGATGAATCAATTCAACTCTATAATGTCCTCCTCTCTTAAATCCCTAGAGTCATTATTTCATTGATTATGCTAAGCCAAGCCTTAACTTTGGATCATTCCTACCATTTGCTACCTTTACGCCTACACACATGCTGCAAAATGAAGGTGAAGAAAATCACACAACTATTCTGAGTCCACTATAGATTTATGTTTTACAGCCTCAACTGTTGAAGACATGATAATTCACTCATACAATAATTCATTCATAATTCAAAACAGAAAACACTAGTCACAGTTACCCTGAATGTATTAAATATTTAGGTAAAACTAAATTAGTTCAAAGATATAACATTAATACATACCGTTCCAAATGCAGTTTCACGATTTACAGAATCAGTCGTCAGACAACACATTATACATTATATTGCTGCTGGGCAATCCTACTGTATCTGCCTTATCAGCTCACTATCCCACTCTCCAAAGCTCTTCCAAACCTTTGCGTCCCTTCTCAAACTTCCCATGGCTTCTCCTCCCATCCTCTCAATGTTGCTTCATATTTTATAGAAAAATAAATTGAAACCATTCTCCCTGAGCTTCCTCTTTCCTCTTTTTCATCTCCTATCACTCATATGCCTTCTGCCATTATCTCCTCTTCACCCTTATCTCATCTGATGAGGTAGCTTTACTTCTTAGCAATGCCAACCCCTCTACCTGCTTGAGTGACCTATTCCATCCCATTTCCTCCAATAGATTGCTTCCTCTGCCATCCCCACTCTATCACTTATTTTCAAGTTCCCCCTGTCTACTAGCTTCCTCCCCTACTGCCTATAGACATATGCATGTCTCCCCTATTCTGGAAAACAAAACCAAAAACTCACTTGACCTTCCATCTCTGGTAATTATCATCCTATATCTCTTTTGCCTTTTATAGCAAAACTCCTTAAAAAGATTGTCTACCGAGCAGGATGATTTCAGAAAAACCTGGAAAGACTTACATGAGCTGATGCAGAGTGAAGTAAGAAGAACCAGGAGAACATTGTACACAGTTATGTGATGAACTGCTGTGAATGACTTAGTTATTCTCAGTAATACAATGATCCAAAACAATCCAAAGGACTCATTAAAAAAATTGTTTTTATTAATTTATTTTGATTTATCAACAATCATTTCCATATGCTTTTGAGTTGAAAATTTTTCTCCTTCCTCCCCCCCACTGTCCCCAAGATGGTGCACAATCTGATATAGGCTTTACATTTTCATTCCTATTAAACATATTTTCACATTAGTGAAGTTGTAAGTACAAATGAAAACCAATAGGAGGAACCATCAGAAAGATGAAACAAAACTCAACAGAAGGTAAAAATAAGTGATAGCGATGCGACTTCCATAGTTCTTTCTTTGGATGTGGACAGCATTTTCCATCCTGAGGCCTCTGGAAATGTCTTAGATCCTTGTAATGCTGAGTAGAGTTCAGTTTAACAATATCAGTCATCGCGTAACGCAGCTGTTATTGTGTACAAAGTCCTCTTGGTTCCAAAGGACTCATGATGAATGCGATCCACCTCCAGAGAAAGAACTGATGGTGTCTCAATGCAGACCAAAGCATAACTATTTTTCACTTTCATTATTATTTTTGGCTCAAGCTTTCATCCACAAAATGACTGATATAGAAATATGTTTTATATGATTGTACATTTATAACCTATACCTTGCTTACTATCTCAGAGAGGGGGTAGAGGAGGAAGGGGGGGATCTCTAAAGTTACCATCAATCTCTGGTTGCCAAATTCAATTGTCTTTTCTCAATCCTCATCTCCTTGAAATCTCTGCAGCCTTTGACACTGTTGATCATCCTGTCTTCCTTGAACCTCTTTGCTCTCTAGGTTTTCTGGACACTACTCTCTCCTGGTTCTCCTCCTCCCTATCAGACTGCTCCTTCTGTGTCTCCTTTACTAAATCCTTATCCAGATCACACCCTGTAAGCATAGGTGTCCCACAGGATTCTGTTCAGGGCCCTCTTCTCTTCTTACTCTATTACTGCTTGGTGATCTTCAGCTCCCATGGATTGAATTAACATCTCTATGCTGACAATTCTCAATCTAGCTTTACTATGTGTTAAAGTTGCATTTTTGAACCAACTATTCACTGTGTGTAAACTAGTGTTCACCGTATTCATGTCAAACTCTGGAATGTAGTATTTGTCCTGCTTTTCCATCTTAACCAACATTCAACTAGTTTGCCTCTCCATCATTTCCTGTGGTAGTTGTTACCTTCAACTTATTCAAAGGGTTAAAGCTTTGTCTAGAATTTTTGACTCTTATTGGAAACTGTACTCTGAAGGCCACCTAAAATGGCCAGATGTATTTCCCCTTCCTTTATCCTATTTACAAAGCTGACCAAGGGGAGAGATTTAAAACATACTAATTATTACATATATAATTTCATGATTTTCTAAATGATCTCATATGAAACTCACTTTATTATTTAAAGTTTAACTCATCAATTTCCTACTTTGGCTGGGAAAAGTGCTTAAACTGCAGCACTTCTGAGTTTCACAGTATGCTGTCAGCAGGGCTTGTAAGGTCTTATGTTATAACAGGTCAAAGAGGAAGTCCAAAGGAACCTCACAGACAAAGATTTCTTGAAAGGATTTTGTTATGCTTTTATCCCAACAGAAAGTCATTTATTATTTTTATTATTGCCATAATTTAAAACAAAAACACCTCGTTAAATATTAACAGTTTTCAAACATTTTTGTCATAACAGTATATAGATCAAAAGGGGAAATAACTTGCCTTAACAGCTTTAAAAAAAATTAAAATACAAGAGAAAATTTTGCATATCCAATATGAAGTATTTAAAACCTGATACTTATTACTAGTAA